TTAAATCCATAAATCAGATATAGATCAGGTATGCACATTATGTAATTACAGATCTTGCAAGTGGAATCAATAATTCTTATTCATAACTTTTCTAACATTTGTTGCAGTGGTTCAGTAAGTAGACATTTTCTAGCTTAGAATCTTAGGAGATGACTCACTCTCTGCTTCTCCCAGCAGTGGCCTCGTTCCCTGGATCCCGAAGTTCAACACCGAGCTTGTTAAGGGCTGCCCTCGCGCCACAGGTCCCCGCCATAGATCCAACCGTCATCAATGACATTGAAGCACACGCACGGCATATTGCAACATCAGTTGACACGCTCATTGAGAATCTCACTGGGACTCTGCATAGTGTAAGTTATTCAAAAACTTATAAACCATTAGTGACTGGTTTGTAAGAGCATCCATATAAAATATATTTTTTTAATACAGGATGTCATTTTTAATATAATCCTTTTGGTTTATTTCACATGAGAGATCCTGGCACATTATATATGGTGTAAGTCTTAATATAACAACCTCATTCCCTCCATTACAGATCTCTGCACTTACTGTTGACTGTGTGGAAACCTACAGGGATGCAGTTTGTAAAACCTGTGATGCTGTAGATGCAAACATAAAAGTAAGGTTAATTAATTCCGATTTGTTTAGTGTTATTGAAAAGTAGCCCTGTTTGTAGACTTGTGCATGTTTATAGAAAAAAATGAATGAGTGAGTATGCTTAGAGTTTGTGTGACTGTGCCTATGCATGTGCATGTGCAATGTGCACATATATATCTGTGTGTGGGTGTGTTGGTATGGTTACCTGTGTGTGTTTGTTGCTTGTTTGTGTACATGTCTGTATGTATGTGTACTTTTGTGAGTGTGTGTGTGAGTGAAAGTGCAAGTGTGAATTATGTGTGAGTGTGTGGTTTGGTCATGGTTATGAATAAGTATCATTTTACAGAGAGATGTAGTTACAGCAGGACATTAGATGTAATTAACAGTGTTAAGTTGAAATTGAGAATACAAACAGTGAATGTTGACATTTTCTAGTTTATGTGGTATAACTTAGTTTATTTGATCTTTATGTTTTGTTGTCCCTATGTCTCAATTTTAATAGCAAACAGTATTGCTTTTGTCCACCGAATTTCTTATTTCATACACTTAATCTTTTCAGTCTATGTACCAGCTGATGGCAAAGACAGAGGAGTTGAGCAAGTCGATGAAACCTATCTACAAACTCCAAGAACAAATGTATCCTTTTAAATATTTGCTGTTTTGTATGAGAATGTGTCAGTTAGTTATCTTGTAGTTTTACTTAGTATACTGTGGGTATTCAGTTAAGGAGGCAGAGTCATCTGTTGGGGATAGATTAATTAACAACTATATATACTATTTTGGTATATCTTCATTGTCCATGATTAAGAATGCCATATGTCATACAGTCAAAGATTCATGGCATCATTCACTAAGGGCTCATTGCTGTGAGTTTGATATACAAACATTTATTTTAACTTATTCTTTTGAAATTACCCATACATCATGAAATGCTGCAATGCCATGAATGCATTACTACAATGTGCAATTGCAAAACCCTCCTTTTAGATGCACCATCTTTTCCACAGAAATTGAATCAGTATGGGAATTTTCAAGAATATTTTAAACAGACACAACTATTCTAACATTTCAATTATTTCTCACTCAATATTTACTCAAGTCATTCATGATAATCAGAAGCCTGTTGGGGAGGGTGGAAGTTGAACATGCCACACATTGAAAGAATAGTTATTTTAGACATAATGCATTCATTCACACAAAGAGAGGTGGGAGGTGCTACACATTATGAATATGGACAGCATTCATTCACTTGTGAAAAGTGTCAGGTGGTGAATGTATGATTATCTGAAATGCCTTCCCATATATTTATATGTATATAGAAGGGGAAAAAAAGGTAGTAAAACAGACTTACATATTTTTTTTTTTTTTATGTTATGTTCAATTGAGTCTGCTTAGATTGAAAGTCGAAATTATACTCAAAAGACCGTCTTCATTCTTTAGGGATTAATTAGAAAGGTTTATCGTTATGCATCTTTTATCATTGTGTACTCTTTTGCTGTATAAGATGAAAGGACATGGATGTTATCCCCCTGCTACATTTGCAGTTTTTAGTTTTCACATTTTCCTTAGAGTTTTGAAAAGGATATATGTCAGCATATACTTGCACAACCTTAAGGTTGGATTACCTTTATACACATCATGGCAATTTTGACACATGCTTGGCAGTGTGCATAGTGAGAAGGGGATATAAAAGTGGACTTACATATTAAATGACAGGCCATATCACCATGTCACAAAATGCGTAACGAGCATTATGTCTCATAACCAGAACTGCAGTAGCTAACTGAAAAATCAACACCTAGTATAGCTCTCTTGTCCTTTTCCTTAACTACCTTTCACAGCAAAGAAGTAAGACGACTCCTCGACATGTTTGAAAGCGCTATCCACTCCAGCGGCTCATGAA